TAATGGATCCCTTGCCATCTTTCATTTCCTCTTCTGTGTTTCTAGGCTGTAAACCTGTACTTATACAGTTTTGAGCTTTATCTATACTGGTTTAGCAGTAGCGAATATGACCTTAGGTTCTCAATTGCATGTAAACAGTATATCCTGACACAGACAAACCAATTACATCTGCATTATGGCCCCAATTTGGTTGGATGTTTGTGGGTTTTCATTGCAGAATTTGTAGTATATTTGTTTATTTAAATCTGTCTGCCACATTCACATCCTGAAACTATGAAGCACATTCAAAAGAAGAGGCCCTGTTCTCTATGGTTACTCTGGATTTGCTGAAAGGAAAGACAAAATCTTCAATTAGGAGTCTTCCCTCATGGCTATCTGTGCCCCCAACCTATTCTGTGATTCTGTGAAATATAACGTTTTTCCTGTCTTGAATGGAAAGAGAGTAATTTTCTGCTAGTCTGACCAAAGGTTGTGACCTTCAGATCTTGGGTTCTGGCATACCTGAACAAGATACCTCTAACTGTTAAAACTAAGTTCCCAGTTCAAAAATGCAGTCTCTATCTGGGCTATATTTCTTTCTCCTTTTCTGAAAGCCTTTCTCATCCTTTTGGAGTTCCTCACTCTGTTCTTTATGCTGTCTTCTATTTTGTGACCCTGAATTTCACAAGAGATTGTTGTGCTGCCTTGTAGGAGCTGGTCATGCAAGGAGACGAAGCCTTAGGAGCCCTAGAATTACTTTGAAAGACAAGATGGATCAATAGACCCTTAACAGTTCAAACACTTTTATCCAAACAGGATAAGGGAAAGCTAGGTCAAAGACCAATTACAAACTTAGGAAAGCAAAACAAGATAGGAAAACAAGAGCATGCAGATAAGATGCACAGTACATCACATAACAAACAGATCATGTCAACAAGAGCTTCCAGAGATAAACATGAGGATGTGTAGACAAGGGGATGTGAAGAAGTCCCTCATTGTCTTTCCTCAGCTCCAGGAAATGCTGCCAACTATGCCTTCATTGCCAGTCAGATGAGTTTGCAGTTAGAGTAAATTCTGCTGGGATACTGGGCACTTTTATCTTGTGAAGTGCTCAGCTTGGCTACCTTCCCTTTCTCATGAAGTCAGCTTGAAGTGTAGTATCAGTATGTCATGCTTAGAGGCTCAGCACTGGTGTCAGTTTGGACTGAGACTGGGAAGAATGGTTTCCCAAAGAAGTGGCTTTTATGGTTCTTTTCTCTCTCTCTCTCTCTTTTTTTTCCCCCTAAATTGTCACAGAAGCAGAGATTGGCAGTACCTGTTCTCCGTTTTTTTATTGCTAACATGTTGCGTATTTAAGGCAGAAAACACTCCCAGTTGTCTGAATGGGACTGTGCTCCAGCTGGACTAAGACTCGGCACTGTAGCAGCCTGAGCAGAAGACTTTCCACCAGCAGCATTTGTGGAGAAAGAAACTGTATTAGATTAAGATCTAAGGAAATACAATAACTGGACCCTAATTAGCCATCTACACAGAAATGTTCAACATGGTATGTTTGCAGATGGATGCCCAGAAGAGTCTCGTTTGTCTGCCAGCTTACTGGGCTCTGGATCTCTTACACTAGGCAGCAGTGACATCACATCAAATTAACTAACCCTAGAATTAATACCAGGGTACCTTGTCAGGGAACAGAACATGATTGTCCATGCTATTAAAATATTGAAAAGGTCCTGGAATGGCTTAGGGTTTTCTCTGGCTTCTTCCCAAAAAAGTCCCAAGCAGAATGGGAATTAACACAAGCAAGAGACAATTCTTCACAAACATTTTGGATGTAAACATACTACTTTTCAGTATAAAACAGTGTGGCTAGAGACCATTCTATACCAGTTGTCTTCAGGGCCAAAGAATGTTGCCAAGCGTATTTAAACTACTAGTTCAGACAAATTCTAAGCGTGTGGAACTCTAGAAAAAATAGCGGAGTCTCTGGGTCAGTCCTGATGGTGTTTGCACTTCTGAGGTCAACTGGTTAAATTGTGGGAGAAGAAGGAAATAACAAGTATGATGAACTGAAGATCTGACCTGATGGTGTTGTGTGATAAGTCCTACACAACCAGCGTTCCTCCTCTGCATGCTGGTGCGATTTGCGAGTGGATTAACACCTGCATGTTTCTTCAGATGTCCCAGTAGAAAATGGAGCAGGTATCTGAGACATATGAATGACATGCTGGATGTGTTTAATGCAATAAAGACATACCATGTGTGTTTACTCTATAGTGGCTTTGGAGGAGACAAAAGGAGAACAAGATGTTACAAGAATGAGCCCTCTATGCCAGGCTGTTTGGTCCTTCTGATAACATGGTTTTCATTAAATCAGCAGGCATTTGTGACATATATAGGGCTAAGATAACTGTCATTTTCTTGTTCTTAGGTGTGAATTCCCGTTCAATGCAGCAGAGTAAGCTCCTAAAGTAACAATGAATGCAAGTGCCAGAACTCCCAGTAAGGATCTACTTTCACTACCAGGAGTGGTCATTACTACAAAGCTGATGATTTGCAGTGGTGCCACACACTGCAGTGGTGAAGAAAAAGGCCTTTTTTGTTCCTTCTATGCTCAGATTCTCCCAAACAGCTTTATGGCTCTGTGTCTCTTTTACAGGCTGTGTGCAACATAAATTTCCATTCCCCTCCCAACTCTTACTCTGCCATTTAATTCTTCATCAATACCTCAAATTCTCTTGGTTTTGATAGATGAGCCCTGCATTCCTGCTGAGCTGTTTGACTTGGAGGAATATTTGAAGAGTAAAACAAATGAATGAAAATGGTAAGTGATGGCAGTGGTCCTTGGAAGTAGCTAACAAACCAAGCAGGTTTCAATAATAATTTTTGCATAGCAAAGTTTTGTTACTTTATATAGTGGAAGTACTTAATTTCTTGAATGCAAGCCTCTTTTACAGACTCCTTCCAAAATTTCACAGAACAGGTATGCATAATAATTTGTTCAGATAGCAAATAATTAGAGTCACTGAAAGATCCATGAAGGAAACATTTCTGAAAATTCTCTAAAAATGTTAATACACTCGTTACGAAATACTACTCAGGAAAGTTCAGTCTACTCACGGAGAGTCATTTTACGACACAATTCCCTTAAAATGAGAATGATTAATAATGATTAATAATTTCTTTTAAAAATTTGATTGAGATGCTAATTGCAAATGGGTAATAAGACTTATTAATAAAAAGATGCAAAATCTGCTCTTCCAGAAGCTTGTTGTGTGGGAATACTCCATCCTCATGTTCCAAAACTGTATATTTCTGCATATCCATGTGGAAAGATACTTTCACTCAAATGTTCACATCTCTCAAAACATTATTAGAGTACCCGTACAATCATTCAAAGAACACAGTAATGAAGCAGCACTCTACGGTTTCTGAAGCCACACTACTCTTAGAGAAGTTTAAGTAACAAGGAAAAGTAAAAAATTTTCACAAAAGTTCATGAAAAGAAAACACCCAAAACAAGTCCCCAGAAAGATGGGCATCATGCTTACAGATATTCCAGGAAGTGAAAGAGTAGGCAGGTTTATTAGATAAATCTTGTCTAGTGAATAATTAACAGGTCAGCTTTAAGGTCAAGCTTAATATAAACTGTTTGTTTGGTTTTGTTGTTGTGACTGTGATGTTTTACTTTTAATGTCTAATAAAGGGTTATACAAGGTAATCCTGGTAGAATTAGGTGGGACACTTATTTATTTAATGGGTCATATTGATTTAATTTTAAAATTTAAGTTACTGTTTTGATGAGCGTCCGTGTTTCATGGGATCACATATAATTCAGTGTTGTGCCCATTTTATAGTAAAGCATACATGACTGTTAAATGAACACTGTTGTTAAGGTCACAATATTAGTCAGGCAAAAGGCTGGAAATGCATATGTTCTGTAAATGCATTTTTATAAAATTGCAGGTTATGTATTATTTATTTCATAGGGCCCTTGCCTGTTTTTGCATAAAGCCAGGATATGAACTGAGTTTGTGATGTTAAAGAGATTATGGTAGGCATTTAGTAGGATTTCATCCATATTTGTGACAGAATTTGAGTAGTGATGCAACAAAGGCTTCCAGGGAGAAAAGAACAGGTCAGTGGACAAGGCAATTGAATGCTGTCTTGAAAGCTAAATTGTAACCTTGCCCCTGAGTTTGTAATTGATGCTATGTGAGTTACTTACATTTATCATAGGTAGCCACTAACCATTTTTTTCAATGCCTGATGAGAATCTGATTTATCAACACACTGAGTACTTAAATCTGGATCTGAAGTGAATGACAGTTATAAGTGGGTAAATGAAGTATGGCAAAGTGCTAAATAGTTATAAAAAAATAAAGGCCTAGACAGCTCTCATATGAGACACCTAAGATTTCTGGATTCTTTTATCTTATCTCCTTTGGATCTCAGAATTCCAATGTGTTAACTGAAGATAATAGCATGCCTTGGTTTTGTAGCAGTGCTTTAAAATAAATGTGCCAGTGTTTTAGAAGCACTCTGCCAGAATGACCATGTAAGAAAAAACCCTGGTGAAATCTGTAGTTCTACATTCAGAAAATTCTGCATTCTTACCTGAAGAAAATCTAAGAGATAGAACATAATGCCAAATCGAGTGAGAGAAGTGATGGAAAATTTCTCATTAAATAAGTGCTTTCTGTTCCAGTGCAATGCGTGAAAGAGGTCTCCAGAACAAAACTGGTAAATGGCCATGTATGTTAAATGATATAGTAAAATAATATGCATGCAGCAGGGAAGCAATTAAAAATTTCACAGACCTGGTGTTCCCCAGCTCTTGAGTGTTTTGGTGTGGTTCCAAAATGTTGTGGTGTTTGCAAGAGTACTATTTAAGTCAGTGTTCTTGCCAAATACAGTGCCTAGACCATGGGTATGTTAAAGCCTAAACAGCTTTTCTAATAGTGTCCTTGACAAACGTATGAGTTTTTTAAGGTTCCTCAGAGACAAACGTATGAGTAGATTTAAACAGGATTTCAGAGCTGAAAGAGAATGACAGATGCTATTCTTGGTAATGTTACTAGCTCCGTCTAGAACACAGCATTATCACTACAAACGCCCACTACCATGGTCCGAGAGGAGCACTTCCTATGGCTCTTGGGGGAGAAGCTTCTCTTCTTTCAGGAATGGATCTGACAGTTATACAGTGCTCAGTGTGAGGGCATTTATGGTGGTGCAAATGTTTATTGCCCACAAATAGAACAAGAAATGTTGACCATTTCAAAATGGAAATTCACTATTAAGACAGGAAAAGAGGTGATTGCTATATGACAAGCTAATAGTTCAGTTACATTTAGGTGTCCATTACCAAGTAGTAGGGATGTAATTTTTACTCTTACAGTGCTTTTTGACATAACAAGATAAACATATGAGATAACTGGTGCTAGTGCTTGGTACCAAACCATCTGCAAAGTATTTTCTGTGTCAATCTTGCAGATTTCACAAAGATGAGCCTTCAAGCTTTGCTTGGGAAAGACCACAACGTTGTCATGACAGAAGGTCAATAAAAAGGCCTAGGAAAATACACAATGCTTATCTGTTACAACTGCTGTATGAGTATTGTTTTACAGGAAGTCTCCCTGTGGTATAGTTTACCCTTACAAATATGGTAGGAGCTATTATGAACTGTGTCCTTATCATTTGAGATAGAACGCAGTATTTAAGCAGATACGTGGCAGTGACATGGTATCTCACACCACATATGGCTGCGTTCTTACCCACAGCTCCTGCTAGGAAAAAAAAAAAAGAGAACAAGCATTTTGTTGTGGAGCAGGAGAAAGTCAAAGACCCAAAGCTGTTTGTTACTTTTTGTGTTGATCGTTATGCAAGATAAGGACACACACTGTGTGACAAGTTTTGCTACAATATGGGATTGCAACAATGTAAAGGAGCTGTGCATTTATCTGTGGGAAAGTAAAAGTTATTTTGTTATCTATCTTGGATTACCAAGTTTTTTACCAAGACTGTGTGCTCGTGGGTTTTGCTCATTACCGTGAGAGTGGACATCATTCCTCTGGCCTCACTTTCTTTAGTGTATATGCACAGTCATGTTCTAAACAGCCATGTTTTGGCATAGCCAAAAATCTCTACCGAAACAGGTGCCTGTCTGCTCACTCCTCTCTTCCCATTCCCCACAGAGAATAACTAAAGCTGAAGCTCTTAATCCCCGCCTGTGGCACTCCAGTGAAGCGCTCAGAGATGACAGGCAGCAAGAGAGACCGAGGGGATCGGGGCGGGGACGCGGGGCTCTCCGCGGCTCTCCGGGACGACCCGAGCAAGGGCTAGGCGACAGCAGCCAAGGGATCTCGCTCTCCTTTTCCTCCTCCCTCCCTCTCTCCTTTCCTTCTCTCGCTCTCTTCCGTCCCACCCCACCGCCCCCTGGGCGGGCCGCCCGCCGTGGCCCATATAGGGGTGGCTCGGGTTGCCGGCGGCACAGCGCGTCTTTCCACCCCCGGGCTCCTCTCGGAAAAGAGGCGGATTCCCAATTGCGCCGCTGCCATGGCCTCAGTACCCTCCGCCGGCTGCCTCCTGGCCAAGAACCAGTACTACAGAAGTGAGTGTTCAGGGGGTCTGGGAGCTGCCTGTCGTCCCCAAACACACCCTCCGTTCTTCTCCCCCCCTTCCCTTCTCTCGGACTAAGGGAGGCTGAGCTCACCGAGCCTCTCCCGAGGAGATGCCCGGGTTTTTGGCACTCGGGGAAAGGTTAGAAAGTGTTTCAGATGATGTCTGGATGAGCTAGAGGCAGAGGCATGTCTTTGTGCAGTAGTTTTTAATTTCTTGGAGAGGTTTTCATACCAAGGAACTTAGTGTTAATGAGCATTTGCTTCTGGTTATTCACCTATTCATAGCTTCTACCTGTGCTTCGTGTTTACTTTGCAAGCTTAAACACAACACAAAATCAATTCACATTTTGTTTCTAAATATGTGAAATAATCACCAGTTTGAGAGTACACGTGGTGTATTAGGATTCCATTGTACAGGATGGACACTGTTGTGTGAGTGTAGTATATGGTTGTATTACAATGGAAACTATAACAATTAGGTTGTTTTGGACTTGAATGTTCAAGTATAGACTTTCTTGTTTTGATAGCAATGTGGAGGATCATAAGCTTTTTCAGTAATTTTGGTGAAAGTTATCCAAATAGATCTCAGTATGCTTTTAAGTGAAGCAAAGTAGACTGAGAGAGCAACTGATAAAATAAGTTTTTATAAAAACAACTGTAGTAGAATGGTGTATATAATATAGAAGTTATACTCTGTAGCTCAGTAAACTTGATTCCTTCAATATAGCAGCAGGTCTGAAAAACTTTTGACATAGAAATAGTGTAGGCTTTCAAAGCACTTTTTAAATTATGTGTGTCTCTGTTTTCCATGAACAGCAAGACTGAACTCTGAATCCAGTGTTTCTTCCAGCTCCTCCTGCTGTTCAGATGCCTCGAACGTTACAGACCGGGAAAAAATATTTCATGGTATTCTTCCCTTCTTTGAAACAGTCTTCAGTTTTGCCTGTTTGTTATTCAGACAGTATCTAATAATGTGGTCTTTTCCTCCTTTGGCAGGGTTACCTGACTTAATTGATAAATATTGGTGGATAAAAAGCTTCTTCCATAGTGAACCATCTCCACCACCTGTTGGCAGAAAAACACTATCAGCAAGCAGGTGAGTTCTGTTTTTACAATGGTGGGGATAACTTGCTGCATTTTCCTTTTGCTCAAAGTCATAATCCACTAAAACCCTCTGGAGGGTGCAATGCTATTTTCATGACTTAGACTTGGAGTATCTTTTGTTCAGGGCTATAGAAGCTTCCCGTGTTTTCATTTTAATAAATGGAATCATATGCTACTACACATTATGAAGGTGTTACAGTCTGTTACTGTTTCACATTTATGGTGCTATTTATTTAATCTTCTACCCATAGAACTTGCCCACCCATTTATACAGTTTACCCATTTTACTTTATGTTAAAAAGATGATATGAATGCATTTGAAAATACTTAAACAGAAAAATATCTTTGAGGAAAATACAATGAAAATTCTACTCATAACAGTTTTATATGTATTTCTGCAGTACCAATAGTTGAAAGAACAGTGTGATGGCCTTACTGACTGAGATGCTATATACAGACCTGTTTTTCCAAGAGGCTTGGGATCTTCCTAACGTCTGGGTTCAGCTGCAAGAAGAAAACAAAACCTTTAGGAAAGTGGAAAAGCGTATTTTCAAAATATTTGTCAGTAGCTTAAATGGTATTGCTTAATGGATATGTCCATGGCCCACCGTGTTCTTTACGGAACTGTGTAATTTGAGATGTCTCTCTAATGGAAGTAACCAGGATTAAATATCCAGATGAACTGAATAATTAGAGAAAAAATTACAATAAAGGTAAGATTGTAGGTTTAGGAGAAGAATCTGTATTGGATGACTTTGCAACTGGTTAAGTTACCTTTAAGATATCAGCTCTACAGGCAGTCACACTGATACAAAGATTCAGATCTATAGTCCGGAGTAGGACTGCTATATGGTACATGTCTTCCATCAAGTATTTGTGTACCAGTTACAGAGAGTAAGTTTACAAGAATGATTGTCGATTGCTTTGATTTTAGAAAGCCCAGTTACATGAAGAAACAGTAATCTGTTTGGTCTCTTTGGTCAAGCAGGGTGCATAGATCCTAACCTCAAATACCCAGGTACAACTTTCATTCATATCTATGCATGTTGGTTTCTGAGGATAGAATAGAGGAGATGGGCAAGGAACCAGTAATCCTAGTGGACACTGACACTTTCCAAGGACAAAAGCAACCTTAATCAGAGTTCATACTCCCAGCTCTGTTTTAGATTTCTCTCACTCACTTTGTTGTGGCTTGAAGAGCTACTTGTTCTTAGGTGACTAATTTTATCAATATTCTGCTCTCTGTCAGCTTAGTTATGAGCTAGATCTGGCAAAATGTTCCACTCAAGCTAATGACACTTATTATCCAAGTCAACCTTTGCTGTGATTCGTGCTCCTGAAAGACACTGTAATATTGCAATGCTGAAGACCAAATGAAGCTAATTAGTACATCAGATTACTTATTCTACTGGGTATGACTGAAATGCATCAGAGAATATGGCAAATAACGTATTTGGCTGGATGATAAAATTTATATCAATTATCTATGCAACTCTTTGATGTATTATCAGTAAACCTGCCTGATGTTTGTCCATCACTGGATGAACTAACAGTAGCAAATATTAATGTAACCAACATGTTTTTACAATGAGTTAATGGTTGTCATGGCTGTGCATAACTTCAAAGTGTATCAAGTGGCTTCTTCAGGAGACTTACAGTCTCTGTGAAGACAATAAATGCATGGCTGGTGACAACAGACAAGAACACAATTCTGAAAGCATAATTTCAAGGGTCTTTAAATTAACTTGTTATGTGTCTTACTTTACTGCTATTGTATAGTTTCATCTTTGTCCTTTAAGTGTACAGAATGAGCTTTTTTATGCTAAGATTTTTTATTAATAAATATTTAATCAGTAGTTGGTCTGGTTTATTTTTGGCTTTCAATAACAACCTGGTTTTCCATGTTCTTTGTGGTGCAGTTAGTGGGTGGTCTGGGGGTTTTTGGAATGTGGTTTGTTTTTTTTTTTTAACATGAAGAATTTTTAAAATTCCCTCAGAGGTCTGTGCTGTGTGTGTCACATTCTTCCTTTAGTCACTTCAAAGTCTGATACAAGGTGAAAAAGGAACACAGGCTAGGAAAAAGACCCTAACAACTTTTTATATAAGATCATGTTGCAAAGGAAGAGAAAAAGACAACTTACGCTTTGCAAGAAGGTGATTGTGTCTCTCTTTGAAGATGCTTGAAATCACAGAAGAAATAGATGCTGTAGCCCTGTTGTTACACATGAGAAATACTCGTTTCAGAATCGACAAGCTTCCCTACTACTTGTTGAGCTTAAGGTGTTTCTGTTCTTATATAGTCAAAAAATGGGGTGCAGAAGAGGCTTAAAGAGCTGATAAGCTGTTAAGACCCACAAAAAAATCAAAGCACTTTTGTTGTTGTTGGGGCAGCAAGGCTGGTAGTAGGCTCTATGAGCTACTTGTTTTTGTGATGGTATCATGGTGATAGAAACCTCCACTTTAGAGAGGTGTCCTCCTGCCATCCACATCACCTTTTACTGTGATCAGCTCAGCATTGGAGCAGCACCACTGACAACTCCTAGTGATTTCTGCCAGTTCTTCGAAGTATGCAATGAATCAACTCAATTAAATAACCTCCAATGTTGTTATAACAAACTCCTGAGAGTATATGGGTTAATGGGACATGAAAGTGCTTGCTATCAAAGGGTTGCATCTTGTTACTTCATGGTGATAGGGAAATGTTAATTTTCTTGATTTAAATGCCAATACAATGTAACTTTGGGAGGAGGGGAAAGCCAAAATTTAAAAGATTTAAAGAGAAGCTGTGATAAATACAAAAGGGAAGCTATATTGTATAGTTTAAATACAACTTAGAATAAGAAAAATAGGAAAATAATATGATTTCATATACCTATCTGGGCAAGACAAGTACAAATGTTTAATTACAGTACAAAAAAATGCTTTTTCCTGTTAGAAGGTCTATAGGTAGAGATTTATTTTGATGAAGTTAATCTGTGTATTGCTATCCATCTGGAAAAAAATAAGTATCAGAAACAGGACTTGTGCCAGTATGGAAGTACTGTTAGATCCAATTATCAAAACCAAATTAGGAATGGAGAGCTGGACTTGAGAAAGACTTTTTTTTTTTTTTCTCAAACATGCATATAGCAGTGATATTTAATAATGGGCTTCCATTTCTTTCCCAAGAGAAAACTGAAGTCATATTCTCCTGATCCTAGTAATGTTCTATTTTAGGAGTCAAAATAAAAGAAAAATCTTATATAATTTGTTTTGGTTCAAGAAGGATGAAATCTTTCTGTTGACCACATTTAGAGAGAGAAATTCATTATAATGAAGTATTTTTCCCCCCGTTTGTTGTGGTTTGGAAGAAAAGCCATAAAGTTACATTTCTATCCAAAGGTTTTTTTGCCTGTGTGTGAGGTAAGCAATACTACATATTGTGGATGGACAATAGTGAGGATTAACTCTAAAGACTATAGCTATTGCAGTCTAATGGGATTTTTTGGCATAATTGCTTTTTCTGCAGAAGCAAGAATGATAAATAAACCCAAGTAAATAAAACTGGTTTTCAAATAAGAATGAAGAGCAAATCAAACAGCAAGTCAAACTCATTTTGAGTTGTTAGGAGTAAATAATATCTCTGTAATTTATTTGTTAGGGTCGCTTCTCCTTATGATATTACAACATTCTGATATTTTAAAATAATTGCAAATCCCTCTTTATATTTTTCATTATCTTAACTAATCATGTATTATTTCTTCTTGAAAGCAGACTCTCTATAATTGTCACTTCTCAACTCTTCCATGAAGGAAAACCCAAGCAGAGTTTTTCAGCCATTTCTACCAGGATTAATGCTGTTTGCAAAACATTTCTCGAACTATTGCACTTACAACTGGTGGCTGAAAATTTTGACCATGATCATGCTCGGTGCCCTGGCTGACTCTTCAGTGATGGAGGGATTTCTGTCATCTCTTTTTTGTCATGCACTCTGTCATGTGCCAGAGTTCCTGGGTTATGCAGGAATGCATGACCCAAATAACGAGTAAAGTCTTAAAGTGCTGATTCCACCTCCTCTTCGAGGATCTTGACACTGATTTCTAAAGAGGTTGCTTCATTTTGTTTAATATCCAGCTACACTGTCTTCAAGAAGTATTTCAGCACAATAAGAGTGGATCAATAGGTGGAAGCAGTTGGAGATGTGCTTTTTTCTTCTGTGATTCAAAGCTAAAAGCCAGGCTCCTCGGGTATGTTTCAGACTCTGTAGTTTACAAACTGAGGGAGCCAAATAAGAAGGAAAAACGTGATGGCGCAGTTTTGATATGACATGGTCAGTTTGAAATCTTGGACCCTGAAGCACCACTCAATTCACTTGTAAATGGAATTTAATGAATACATTTCTTAATATCACAAATGATAATATGTTTGAAGAGTTCTACTCATTGCAACTAACTACTTGTAAGAAATATGACAAAAATTAATTTTTTAAAATTTAATTTAAAAAAAAATCAATCCTCTCTTTGATGACGCGTATCACAATTTTTTGTTTTTAATTCCATTTTTACATTGTATATAGAGTCACTTCTTCATCTTGAAAATAAACATTCTACATTTTAAATATATTTGTATATACATTTCTAAGAACCTACACATTTCACATTTCACTATCTCATAATAGTGCAGTAGTGAAAAGATAATACTAGGGGTAAAATACACAATGAAATAAGTTCCTTTGAATAGATATTTTCCCATTGTATTGTACCCAGGTTAATTTAATGCTGTCATGACTCCAGCTCAGACTTACCATATATTTAAGTTCAGATGAAACCTAGAATTGCTATAGAGTCAAATTGACAGGATGTGTAAGTGGCTACATGATTTCTCCATGGCAGTAGCAGATTGAGTGAAGTCTTGAATATAAAAGGCAAGCTAAATGTATGTTGTATGTAGTAATCATCTCACATTCTGCCACAATAAAATGCCCACCTGCAAAACCCACAATAACTTTAGGAAAAAAACAACATAACCCTCCACCTAAAAATTCTCTTTCTTTTCATTTTGTGCATTCCAGAAACATATGTTTCTAATCAAGCATTAGTTTTTTTATAATTCTTTCTAATGTTGCAAAAGACTGGCAAGCTGAAATGCATTACACAAACAGATTGTTACTTTCACTAGTAGTTTTAATTGATGTTAAAATTATTGTCCTACATTAATCTTATGCCATTATTGTTTAATGCATTTAGTGGGGGAGTTGTTCTCTGTTTATCTGTCAGCATACTGCGAATGTAGCTGGTTTGTCGTCTGGAGGGGGCAGCTTTGTGGTATAAACACTTTTTAAACACCTACACGCCACTAAAATAGAGCTCCAGTTACTAAGCGGGTCAGCTCAGACCTTCTGAGATAAATGTGCATAGGCTGTAACTGTCTCGTGTAAGGACTGATTTTTATTCTGCATTTTTACAACACAGTATTAAACATTAATCTTGAAAGGCATCAACAGCTAGGCATTATAAAATGATATGAGGCCTTTATGACTAATTCTGAAAATGGATGTCCCTTCTCTTCTCTTTGGACATTAAACATCCACAACATTTATTATATATTTTAAAGAAAGACTTGCCAAGAGTAAAGATTAAAATTTATTGGCTAAAAAAATTCTTCAGCAGCCCTTTTTCTGTACACTAACAGTCAAAAACTGATATCCTCTGTATATTTATCTTGCTAGCACTGACACCATTTAGTTCCACCCCCAAACAGGAAAGTCTCTTGAGATTTTTTTAAACTGGAGGCATTTCTTCTTCAATGTCACTTAATATTGAAATACACTGAAATCAAAAGTGCTTTGCATAATAAATAAATGTAAATTCATTGATGGTGGATTTGAAGTAAAAAAACCCAAAAACATCACAAGGTGAATGGTGTTGATAGTCATTTACAGTTACATGAAATCCTAACTATATGTAGGGAGCACTACGGCTCAAGGACTCACAGAGATTAAGTTGATCTCAACGCTCATTCAATCTTTCTCCTCTCCCCCAGTTGTTCTCTGAACTAATTAAAAAAATCAACACAGAAACAAGCACCATTTTAGCACTTACGAAGAAATAATAGAGAAATGAGATAGAAAGGATAACCAGGAAAAACAGCAGTTCTTTTAATCCTGGAATGGATCAGCCTGTCTCCAGGACATACATCTTTCTGTCTCTGGTTAGGAAAAAAAAATGCAACAAAACCCCTGAAGTATTTTGCTGTGGCCAAGAAATAATCTAGATCATATTAGAAGCTCAGAAAGATCAGGTACTCGTATCATTTATACTGAGCCAACTCTAAAGAAGGAAAATGGACTGAAAGAATCCACAGTGTGGCTGTAAAACAAGGGGCAGGATTGAAGCACAATCTTTTGCTTCAATAAAACCTTGACTTTTAGGCTGAAAAATAGCATTCCTGAAACATGCTGACAGGATATGTTCCTGCGATGTCTAGCGGGAATTTTGTTTAAGAGCTCTTTTATGGGCTTGTCGTCTCAGAAATTGCTTCTCTTGTTGGCGTGTTGTCCCATGTCTCCCTCAACCCTGTCCCCCCATGTTTTATGCACATGTTACATTAAAGTGGATGAAGTCTTTATGGGGCACATGGTGACGGGCTGCAGGCAAAGTAAAACGTCCTTGAGACATACCCCAAGTGTGTATCTAATTCAAAATGTTGTGAATTTCAGAGCAAACATAATTCTAAAAAAATATGTAGTATTTCAGTGAAAGAACATAAAAAATATATGTCAAAACATTTTGACTGCTCATAACAATGACTGGTACAAGACGCAGTGTGAGGAATAAACTGAATTTAACATTGACCTGCAACATCAGAGAGAGCAAAA